GACGAGGGTGAAGAATTAAAGATGCGGGTGCCAGCTGCTCGAGCTGTCATTCGTATATCGAGGGAGGAACGATTTTCGCGTTGACGAGTCGGCGAATGAAGCACCACGTCGGGGCACGAAGCACGGTTCGTTGACGGGATACGTCGGCGAAAATGGGCGAAAATGAGCGAGAACGCGCGATAAAATCCGATTGATTTCTCTTAATAGGAGCACGCCGATCGGACGGAGAGTAACGCGCGTGTGACAAATAGTCGGGATTTATCACGCGGAGAAAAAGCGCGGTATATCGGTGATCGATCGACTCGTCGGCGGTCATCCTCCCGTGACATATAATTCCAAGAACGACCCGTTCGTCGCGAGCGCGCGGTTCGAGAACGCGCGTCCTTTCCCGCGTCGAAATCGTTAGCCCAAACGGCGATATTAAAATATCGCGAGGTACACGCGGCATTCGGGATCCCGTCGCGTACCGTCACTCACCCGCACGTCGACTCTCTTTCCCCGAAGCTCATCCTCAGAGTGCGCTCATCCTGCATTGTCAGTCGCAGCTGACAACGCGAGCGGAACAACGAGCGGATTTGCATGCGATCCAAGATCTATTACGCGCCGGCAGAAGCGCTCACGAGCGGCCCGGCACATTTTTCCCTCTGCCCCGTCCCTCCGACCCTCTCGTCGCCCCACCTGACCACCCCTTCTCTCTCTCTCTCTCTCTCTCGCTCTCGTTAGCTTTCCCGTTTTCAGACGTTGTCGGCCGATTCGATTCGAAGCTGCGCGCGCTACCAGGTTAATTTGAGTGGAAATCCTCGTTCCGACCTGCACGCCGCGCCACCCTCGCGTTACACGCGCGACCAGCCAAACGATGCAATTTTTTAATACTCCTGGATGACCGGCCACCGTTACGGCGGCCAGGCGGCGGACGACGCTCGCGTTTTCCGCGCCGCGGCAGGATTGTACCAAATCCGGCGATGTACCAAAGTCGGCGTTCCTCTCCACGGTCAAGGGAAATTACGAGCGTCCGTAATTTCTGATATTTCCGGCCGTAATTGATTACCGCGAATTATCGATTAAACGCGGAACGGGCCGCGGCACACAACGGAGGGGGTGGTTTTTCGCGAACCCGACGAACAAACGGCATACCCGTTTTATGGATTCGTCGCGCGTCGTACCGTCGCATCGATGAAGCGAAAAATTTTTCCGTAATACCAGCAACGGAGGGAAATTATACGAGCACCGGTGCGGCGCGTTGAACCGGTGGCGAACAAGCATTCGACGTACCGACGGGAAACGGTCGAGTGTAAAACGAATGTACCGTGAAATAACAGACTGGGCGAAAAAAGGTTTTAAAAGAGCTTAATTCCATTATTTAACGAAAACATAAACATGGACGCGCGCCCACGCAGCCACGCACCGGTTGCGCGTTGTTATTTTCTCGATACCGTGTGCAAACGTGTTTAAACAGTTCGCGTAACACGTTCCTCCGCTACTCGATCTCGCGAGAGCAGACTTTTTTACGGATCAACCGGGAACAAAAACACTTGGAAAACAACCGTTTCGTAATCGATTTTGATTATTTATACGCGAGAGATTGTACTCGTTTCCAGTCGGAAAAATTCTACGCGCTTTCCCTGCCCGTCCGCGTTCCCTTTTTCCACCTGGAGATACCCGAACCCGCCCCGTCGATTATTTATACGCGTCGCTGGAAAGACGCGTACGCCGCGCGCGTCTTCTGAAAACTCCGCGAGCAACTGAAACGGTAATGCAGTGGTTTACATTTCATGCGACCGAATGGCACACCGCCGCCGAGCTCCCTTATTATTCACGGCCGTCGCTACGGGGGAAAGGGAACTCTAAGCCTCTGTGTAACTTTTCCTATTCTTGCATCCCTCTAGCCGGTAGCGTCGCGGGGTCGTCTCTAGGCACGGGGCACGCCGCCGCGTCTCGCTAAAACTCGTCGACGTTACGAGATTAGACGGACCAGGCCGGAGCGTGGAACGTAGCCGAAATCTTTTCTCGCCGACCCCCGAGATCCCCGGTATTTTGTCCGACGGTCAACCCGATTCCACCTCTTGGTCCCTTCGCGCGGCTACCGCGTTCGGGTGCACCCGCCCTGCCCGTTTCTTGGGGTAAAAAAAAATTCCCGGGCAAATAAATATAGCCGGCCGTATTCTTTGCCAAGGCATTGTGGTCGGCGCGACGCAGTAAAATACGACGCTTTTATTATCCCATGAGTTTTAGCATGGCGCAACGCGGCCAGAATAAACTCTCGAGACGGGGTAAACTCCGGGAGTAAAACCTTTGCGCCCGGACTAAACCAGACGGGATCTTCGGATCTCGTATCTCCTATTTATCATACGAACTTTTCTTCATTTTTTACCCGCCCGACAGGGAGATACCCTTCCGGGATACGACGCCGTACCGGTAGAAATGGCGATGGATTTCGCGCGCGGGGGAACCGATCCCCCGATACTCGGGTCCGCGTACACGACTCGCGTACGTCATCCCCGCTGCGATTTGGCCACCCTGGCGAATCTTCTCGCCAGAGGCGGGAACTTTTTCTCCATTGTCGCGACGCCACGCCGACACTTCGCGGCCGGCCAAGAACGGAAACGGGAAACGAGCGGGAAAACGAGGGATTACGAGGGCGAGGGGGTGCGAGAAGTCGACGAGGGTGAGACGAGAGTCGCGCGAGGAAGCGAAAACGGGGGAGAAAGAGAGAACGGGGGCAAAAAGGACGAGGGGTGGAAACTCGACCGGACTCTCGTTCATAACTGGACCCGACTCGATTATGGTCGCCACGGGCGCATTGGCTCGCGTTAGCTTTGGCGGTAGCATCGAACGCGCTGCCCGCTAATGGGCCGGATATGGATGAAAAATTATCCCGGCTTAATGCTCGCGCTCGATTTTCGTTATTAGCCGGGGTTTTAAGGTTCCACGGGGGATCGTGGCGGTTAGCAACGACAACTCGTCCGAAAGAGAGATACACGCGGCCTTTGCTCCCGCGCCGTTCGTAGGCTGACCGGATTGAAATTTATTCGGCGATTAAACGTTTGATCGTCGGACCAACCGGTACACGCAATTCCATTAGAACAGGCTGCACGGTTGATTTCTAACGCGACCCCCGGAATAAACTGATTCATACGATTACCCGCTAGCCGCGTTATTCCATTACACCGGGTCTAACTATTTATGGCGCGAATCGCAGCGAATCCAACGGCCAATCCTACAGCCGCTACTTACTACCGGGTGTCTGCCGAGTTTAACGGATAACGCAACGGGGTCGGTAAACCGACCGATATAGCCGATTAAATTCGCGCGTATACCGATAGACGCGTAACGAATGCTTCGCGATCGCGATCCAAGCCACGTGAAAGGGGAATACGTGAAAAGACCTTGCAACGCGCGAGGTAACGCTCTTGCGTCCAGCCACCGGTTGTCGCTGACACGCTCGCGAGCAACGACTGAACCCGACGACGCCCGAATTAAACAACCCGGGTGTTCCTTAAAGTCGAGGAGATCGGAAATTATGCCGCGACGCCGTTAGGATTTACCAAACACCCCGTAGACGGGGATCGATCGTAGTGGAAACGAGCCGATTCGGCGATGCAACAAAGACTAGCCGCGCGGTTCTTACGCTCGAGAGCTTATCGTGGAAAATGCAGGCGAATAAATCGGCGCGTTATCGGGCCCGCTGTCAATGGCTGGAGGGAAGTTATCGGCGGTGGACCATTGCACCCTGTGCAACGTTCACGGAGGCGCGCTCGCGCGATAACGATGCAACAGATTCCCATCGATGACGCCAGAAGTACGTAATCGGGCTTGGTTCGGTGAGCACACCAACCTCGCAGCTGATCGACCCGCAACTACGATGTTCCGGAGATTACGGGATACTCAATTAAGGGATTCGGTATCATAGAATTCGAGAGCTTGGGATTAAGGACGCTTATCGCGAGAGTAACTTCGGATTATGCACCGTCGTGCAGCGCCGCTGCGTCCTGCGTGCCGAATCCTATCTACTCGCCCGCGACTCGCGAGTAATTCCGCGAGTTATAGCTCGCGGCCCGGTCTCCTCCAACCTTCGAGCAGGAAATTCGCGCCAGAGTCTCGCGTTTACTCGCGATCTACCGGAAAAGGCAGTGGCAAGTACCGAGTGCCATGTAAATAAGTAAGTACGCAGGGGTGACCGACAATCGCCGAAGGGAACGATTAATTCCGTAACGCTTGTCCGAAAATGGTTAACGCTAATCCAATGGCGTATGATTCGCGTCCTGCTGCCGCCGTTGGCGTAATTAGTAATATCTGATTAACTAAACCGGAACGGAATCGGATTAAATGAAATCGGAACGCAAATCGCGGTAGCTCGTAAATCAGCTTATCCAGCTGCGACTTGTCCTTTATTCATTGTGTTTGCGCTTATTTGCAGTTACACTCTACATTTACTGTCTATTGCCCAGTGCCGATAAATACCACCATTATCGTTGCCATTAAGCAGCCTCGCTGCTCGCCGTTATCTACGATCGATTCTATATCCCCGCGTATCGGTTCTTTCGCGTCGCTGGACCAACCGCGAGTACGATGGTCCCCGACCGATCTTCCGGACGGTCCACGCGCGCGCGTTTCGCGATTTCTCGAAAAATTGCCAACGCTCGCGCGACGTCGAAGATTCTCGGTGGTTCTTGGTGCGCGAAACCGCCAAGGACCGGGGGTCGATGACACGAGGTTTCGTCGAAAAATCGATACGCGCCAACAGATCTCGACGACTACCCTGTAATATTTACAAACAACGATACGTCGTTGACGCACCCTCGGGTGTAACCTCGAAACGCCGTACACCTGTTTACCAGTCGACGCGGGGTATCGAGGGAACGCGAGTTTCCAAGAACATCGGGCCTACCGGGGCATACACGTAACGGTGTAATTGGTTAAACGTGGCGCGATAACGCGCGAGAAAATGGAAAGAAAGGCAGAATAAAATGTAGAAAGCAGGCAAAGAGAATTGGACTCACCGATCATCGTAGACGAAACCCGCTTGCAGGGTGTTGCAATAGAGGGCCGTGGCGACGAGGGCGCAGGCTACGGCTAGGATATCCATGTCACATCGTGGCGAGGACGGTGGCGGCGGCAGCGATGTCGACGGTAGCGGCGGCGGCCTCTTAACTTGTTGCACGTCCGCGGGCCTTCCTCCTCCACCACCTCCACAACCCCTCCTTCTCCACCTCCTGGCTCCAGCGGTTCGCCGTACGGCGGTCGAGACGTCCGCCGGACGGTCCAGCGACCGCCGTTCTGACGCCTGCCCGGATGTATCTCGCCCGGGACGAATGTCGCTGACACGTCGCGAGAAACGAGCCAGTAATCAAGCCGCGGCTTCGTCGTGCCGTGACGCGCGACGTCGAACCAATTGACCGGCCGAATCGTCGCTGCTTCGGAGGCGACGCTGGGGAACGCGCCTCTGACGCGGCCAACTCGATCGTGAATGGTCGTGACGTCAAACCGTCCGTGGCGTGATCGCGCCGAGCCTGGACATCCGTGCTCAACGCGCCGGATTTCCGGGGAACGCGAACACGCGGAGGTATCGCGTATCCACCGAGTGCGTGTTATCGTCCCGCGCGCTGATCTTGCCAGCGTCTTCCACCGCGTTATTCCCTTCGAGATTCCCTCTCTATCTCTGTCCGCAACCACTGATCCCGATGATATTCACTCGTCGATCGATCGCGTTCTCCGCGTTCGTAATCACTGCGAGACCCGACTGCCAACGGCCCACACTTTCGCGAAAATGGACTCCGCTTGGTACGCCGGCGGACGACGCGATACCAGCGATCCGTATCGCTACGGCGACTCTCGAGGAATGTTATTGTCCAAGGACAACACACGCGGCCTGACTTGCTCGCCGCGGTAAACAAGACTGATCGCGCGACGCGAAAAGATCGGTCATCGAGCACGACGACGACGACAACGATGACAACGACGACGACAACGACGACGACAACGGCGGTGACTCTCCGAGGTCTGCCCGCGACGTTTGTCCGCGAACGAGCTGGCGAGAACGATACAGTCAAGGACGCTTTCTAGGAGAAACGGTGAACTCGGTGAACACCCGCGTCGCGGCGCATGTTCCGAATGCGGAACGCCAACTGTCGCGCGCCCCCCGAGGACGAGCGCTTTATACGAGCGGGAGACGGGCATCGATCGGACGGGCGCTTGCGCTTGCCCGCTTCTCTGCTCTTCCTCCTCCTCCACATCCTCCGATATGCTTCCTGGTCCTCCTTCGTTCCTCTCGTCCTCTTCGCTCCACTGTTTCACTGCTCCTCTCTCTCTCTCTCCCCCTCTGTCTCTATCTCTATCGCGACCACGGCTCTATCTGCTCTCCTCTCTGCATGCTTCACGGCAGCAACCTTGCCTCCCACCGTCTACGACCGGCCGCGAGTACGATGCCGACCACGACCGACGCCGCGACCACGACCACGACCGCGACCAACGGACTGGATTAACCGCAACCCCGACGACGCAGTTGACCGATGGCTGCCCTTTCGGAAAATGAGGCGCAACGTCGTCCACGGATCATAGCCGTGCGAACGTACTCGTAACCTCGTCCAAAGTCTCTCGGACCGTGACGCGGTGCACCGAGGATGCGGGTAACCCGTAAGAACGCGAGCATTTAACGATTCGGTAGCACGATCGCGTTTGCTCGGTCTCGTTTAACCGGCTCTGACCGAAGCGAAAGATCGCGCGAGACCGAGAATAACGCAGCGGGGGGGGGGGGGCGACGACGAGAATCGCGACCGCGTTGAACGGGAGGGAAAAAAGACGCGGAGACAACAGGTGTTTAAGAGGATTCGAAGATTTCTTTCCCCGTGAAGCCGGACCGATGGTCGGAGGGGGTCGGTATCGCGATATTAAATAGGGTTGCCGCGGCTCGTAACGTTCTGTCCCTCGGCGCTGCCGTTTCAGTCCCGTGCTCCCCCGAATTACCACCATTAATCACTATAGTTGCGAATAATTAATTGCGCGCAAGGGGCTGCGTGAAGCGTACATTCGTCACGAGTATTGTTTTAACCGTGCCAGTTGCGCGCCCGGTGATAGTATACTTAGCCGCGGCGTACACGGCTGCGCCCATCTCCCTTGCACCCCTTTTCCACGGAAGACGCGCTCGCGGAGTTTTCAATTAACCAAACGAATGCGCTAAATATCGTCTTTTGCCTCGGATAATGCGTCATTCAATTTCGGCGCAAATTATCCGTATCCTTTCCCACGCTGCTACCTTCTCGTAATCCCGCGAGTTCACGCTGGCTTTTGCTCCCGGAGATATTCGACGTCGCTCAACGGGAAGCCTGAAAGGAAATAGTATATAAAATAGCACAGCGAGGTTCTCCTCGTCCTCCATCCGCGGCGGCCGAGTCCTCGTCGCGGCCTTACGACGATTACAGGCCGCGCGCGTACGATTTCCCGGCTGTTAATAAATAACCGCGAACAAATTAACGTTAAACACGAGGGTGGAATCGATCCGCGATTAATATTAAACAGGTGTCGGCGGTGAAACGAGCTGAAAAAAACGCAATCGCCAGGGAACCCCTAATCAGCTCGCCTGCCACTTAGCCCCCTGTCACATAAAACACGACGCACGAACGTGGCCGCGGGGGTAAAACGAAAGTCGATCGAAAGCTAGCGGAGGGATCGGAACGAAGTATGGGTAAACAATTCCGCGCACGGAATGGGCACCGAGCGATTATGTACGAGCGAGGGACGAGAGTCTACGAGGCGACGTATATTACGCTGCACGTGCACGCGCCGGTACGGCCCGATCAGCCACCCTCGAAACGACCTTTGTCCACGTTCTTCCGTTTCCACGTGCTCGTGACCCGCGGTGCACGAGGCCGATCGCTCGTCGATCTCGACGCGTCTCGCCGAACGAGTCTCGTTAGCGCCGGGCGGAAACGCGTCGTTGGAATGAAAACGTACGGCCGGTGCAACGCGATCCCTTCGAGGAACTCGAGTAACCCGGCTGTACTCGTTTCCCGGTAATTCGCTGCTCCGCCGTATCGACGAGAACAGCGCGTGCTGAATCGCGACAAGGATCGCGTAATCAATTAGATAACGAGCGTACCCGCGGCTTAGGGGAAAAAATGTTTCTTGGGTTGGAAAAAAAATATTACTTTCCGGTGGCCGTAATATAAACGGGGCGAGCGTGTACATCGCGGCGGGGCACGCCATGGGGACGAAGCGTAGCGGAGGCGTGCGGCGGCGGTGGGTCGCGATGGTGGGTCGCGGCGGTGGGATGCGTGCGGCCAGGCTACCCTGTTATTTGTCCCACGCGCTGGCAGATTAAGATAATGGGCTAATGCGGACCCTCCGCGCGCGGCACGGCTGTTCCCGGCGACCGATGGTGGCAGCTGGACATCCGCGTGTCGGCGGGGGAGCAAGGGTAGAGATACGATGACCAGCGACCACGCGATCCTCCCGGACAAGCCCGGTTATACGCGCCTCGTTGCGAATTATCGTGCGAAGTAATCGCGGAGCATGCGCTCTCCGTTGCGACCTCGAGCCCACCACCGACCTGCTCGAGCGAACCGAAAGCGTCGCGACGCCGCGACTGTTGCGGGACCACTGTTACGCGACGAGGAATCGCCTATCGCGACTCGGGTTCACCGGGATAATAATGGCCACGCGAAGACAGACGGCAGAGGCGAGTCTGGAAATAAACCCTTATCCGTTTCCTTTTCTGTCGTGCCCCCGCGACGAGAATACGACGAATCGGATATTCGCGTCCGAGTATCGATACGGTTTAATCGGTAGGGTAAACGTCCGATGGAGTTTCTTCCGGCAGGGTACCCGACGGGGGTTTCGACGAAAGTCGACGCCGGTGAAGACGGTAAAGTTCGAGGGACACGCGGTTTTTGTTCGCCACGGGGACTCGAGTTGAACGGATGAAACCACCCCCGAGAGTTTCACGCCTCTAACGCTGGCTTAAAAACTGTTAGAGGTACAAAAAGCTTTTTCCGGAAGCTCCCGGATTTAGATTAAAAAACTTAACGAAGGAAAAAACACTTTTGTCTCCTTGGTTATTAAAATGGTAGAGCCGCTTTTATGGCGACCGCAGCGGTCGGGATACCCGAGTAAACTTTAGAACGGAAGCGACGTTTTCGATCTTGTTTCCGCGGCGGACAAGCACGACACCGACGGTTTAATCGGGGAAAAACCGTGACTGCACGGGGATCCGGCACGGTTTGTACCACGATCCCCGCAATAAAAAGGGAACACGCGTCTCCGCTTAAAGGAACAAGGGTCCCGGTCACGATCGTCCGAAACGCTGCTACCCGGAAAGATTTCGCGCGATTTCCTATCGCGATCCCTTCTCGGGGGCAACCCTCCTCCACGCGGCTCGACTTTTAGGCACGCGACTTCGTTTCCACCGGCACGGCGATAATATCGACGCGAATCGAGCGATTTCGAGCGTTCCGTCGCGAAGGGAGGGCGACGCCGAAGGTTGGACGAGTGGTTGGCAATCGGTAACGCGGTTTCTCGATTATTTGCAGCCACGCTGGAAATTGAACGTCATTTGATTTCACTGGAAGGAAATTAATTCCGATGCGACCGGGCCGGGGATCGTGTGCGCTAGAACGTAATCTGGGTTACGCTCCAGGGAGAAAGGGAACGAACGATGGTAGGAAATAATAGCGAGGAAAGGTAGAAAAAAAAAAAGGAGCGATCCGATGGATCTGACGGTTTCGACGCGGATAGCCGGGCGACTAACCTACCTGTTACTTCGTTCCGTCACCTTTTCGATGGCGAATTAACCGCCGAAATTCCGCGGTCGGAACGATCTCGAAGGGAAAATTGGTATATCGGCCGCGATCGCGATCGCTCGGGGCGCCACGAGCGCGACGCGTTCGCGATTTACGTTAGCGATTTACGCTAGCGAGATGGGAATGGAACCGCTGCCGAGTGTGGAAATAACTTTCGGTAAACGCGAAATTAACGGAGCACCGGGTACGAGTGGGAACGAAACGCGTATCCGATACACGGTATCATCGATTAGAAACAATTTCGAATGATCAACGGATTGGCCGTGGTCCCGCGCGAAAAAGCGTAGGTGTTCGCGTGGATGCAGTTACACGGTGAACGAACGACAGCCGGACGTCGCGTCGGGGAAAAAGAATTCGAGCAGTCATAGGGAAATACACGGTGGGAATTCGAGCGCGACGAAATACAATTTGACGCGCGCGAATTCCGGGGAACAATAGAAACATCGCGATTTCCGAATAAAATTGTATAAAGATCGACACGCGCGTGCTCGTAAATATTATTCGGTACAGGGGAGCTTGCATGAAAGTACTCATCTTTGAGCAAACGATCGGATCCTAGCAGTGCGATCGATACGGATCGCGCCGAAACGCGCCGCGACCCTTCCGATTCGCGCTATTATATAGGTGTCCGCGGACAGCGTTTTAATCGGCGAATTGGTATGGGCAGAGAAAAAAATTGCTCGGTAACCGGTATCAACGATAGTGATTATCGATCGACACGCGCATTTTCGGTGTTCGAACGAGCGAATGGAACAGCCCCGTGGCTCGTTCTCGTTCGCTATCGAAACTGCCGCGTTACCGCGTTGCCGAGATTTTTCCGATATCCGTGCCGCGGGCGGTGCGAACGCGGAAAATTCAACGCCATTATTCGAGCACGCTGTTCCCGGAACGAGCAGGACCGCTCGTTCGTTCGTTCGTTCGTTCGTTCGTTCGTTCGTTCGTTCGTTCGTTCGTCGTTCGTTCCGTCGGTCGGTCCCCGTGTGTACGCGTACGCTCGGACGTCGTTGTAACTACACGCTGAACGTTGTTAACAACTGGTATCAAGAGTAGGTTCAACACGGGGCTGCGAAATCTACGAGGCCTTGTCGCTGACACGGCAGCACGCGCTTTCCCGTGCACCGCAAGAGAGCCACCGCTTTCCCGGCCAGCCGACCGAATCGAGATCCCGATCCCGACGACCCGAAGAGGCCGCGTACCAGCCAAACGCGTCGAAATCGACAACGAAACTCGATTTATCGTTTCCCCGGCGAAACCGACAGGTGTTTCAAAAATACGTGCCATTGCCACCCCGTCGATACCTGCACGTCGAACGAGGATTTGTACGATGCCGGGTTCGACGTTTCCCAAATCGTATCAGCCGTTTCGCGACTCGACACCACCACGCGCAGCGATCGCGTTATGTCCTTCGATATTTACTTTTCCCTGTCTCCGCCGATTCCTCCACTCGATACGCGGGGAACATCGGGTCGGACGTGTCCAACCGGCGAGACATCCACGACATCGCTTCACCCCCGATCCAGCGACTGTATTAACCGTGCGAGGATATTCGAACGGGGGTTCCGGATCGCGAACGAGCATAATCGAAGCAAGAGGCGGTTAAAAGCTCGACTCGCGGATGCCCCTTTTCACGCTTTCTTCGTCGTCGGTGTTATATTCGGACACACAAAGACCCGCCACCTCTCTCGCCGCGCGGCCCGATATTTCATCGCGATTTTCCGCACACTCATCGTCGCTCGTTCACGGGGTCGTTGGCCCCGGCGTGTTCCACGAACAAACGCCTTCGAGCTATTCTTCGTGCTCGCGAGTAGGGGGACGTCGATCGTGACTCGACGACCTGGCCTCGCCGATGACGACGATCACGACCACGACCACGACCACGACCACGGAAAACCGAGCGAACGAGCGACTCTCTGATCCCCCTCTCGCTAGATATCGCGCGCAACCCGCGGCAAATTCCGCGACCAAACCACGCTCCCGGCGTCCTGCTATTTTCACCTCGCGTTTCCAATTTGCGTTCGCGCCTTTCGTGCCAGCCGGATAGACGCCACCCTCCAAACGAGACACGCGGAGCACCCGGACCGTGCTTCCTGTCAATCTGCACCCTCTCTCGCCACCTATGACGAGCGTCCGTGACACTCAACAACAGGTATCCGCGCCCGTGTCTTTCGTTTAATCCGCGTCTCCTCTGCTGGACCATCGTCGATTCTTTACTCGCCCCCCTACGATCCTCCGTCGTATAATTTCGCGAATGAAATTAATACGGTCTCGAGGTCGCTACCAGACGACGAACGCATTTGTTGGGCAACGGCCGGGGTCAACGCGGATAATATCCGCAGTTAATTAAACGATAATTAGTAATGATTTATTGGCGCGGCGCCAAGCAAATCCGATCGAGGCGTGTAATATAGGACGCGAAAATCTGGGCGTTGACAGGGATCGTTTGCCGGATTACAGCTATCGCGAACAATGTTACTGCATTATGAACACTTTTCGGGGCTCGTTCGAAATTCATTCGCGAGAATTATCGG